GGTGACCTAAAATATTTAGAACATATTTAGGAGAAAACGATTACCCAAAACGTTTTCTTAATGATTGCATGAGATCACCTGTTTGTAGGAACCAAAATAACTCCGAGGGTGATACCTCTGTTAAGGGTTATGCAATAGTTCAAAATGCATTCAAGGTGTCACAGAACCAATCAAGAGAATGTTAAGTAATTGTAATATTAAGGTTGCCTTAAAACCCTATTTGACTTTAGGCCATATTTTCGCAAAGCGAAAAGATCCTGTTGAAACAAATCAGAAAACTCATGCTGTATGTTCTATACTATGCGGTGACTGCGAGGAAGAGTATTTGGGTCAGTCTAAACGCCAGTTTGGTACACGGCTAAAAGAACATCAAAAGGCTGTTTCAACTTTAGACAAGGGAAAATCAGCTTTAACCGAACATGTATGTTACACCAAACACGAGATTTCGTGGGAAAACTCGCTATGGTCAAAGACTTTGCCTAGAAGCGTGGCATATAAATATGAGTAATCATGCTTTGAATAGGGATGACGGTGTCTATTTGCCAGAGGAATATATGCATCTCATTGACAGGTGACGTCATCCCTTGGGTATTTAAGAAGCCACGATCGCAATTTTAGATCACCCCTGATGAAGACACTAGACTGGAGTGTCGAAACGTTGGGTCTTGATTACAATTCGACTAGGCTTTGTAATCATTTATTTAAACCAGATTAGCGAGCGAAACATGACTAATATACCTGGTTGCAGTAAACGAACACACTTTAAATTAATGATATATTTGCAAGAAATCACCAAATCAAGACTGAAATGTTTGCTGTTTCGGCATGCAGTCGTTGTAATGCAAATTTTAAATTTGACCAATCAGTGTTCGCTATTCATCACAGTCCGCCATATTTTTGAGATCAGTGAGGATGACCACCCACCCAACACCGTTGGTCACCCACGCTCGCGATCATTGATGCACTTCAGACTTCGCTAATGCTTTCGTTTTCCCGGGTGTAAATAGCCGGGCGGAATTAGTACCCTCCCCCAAGGCTTATACGCCCTGAACGGCGCTCCGCGCCGTTGGCTCGGGGACAAGTTGAAATCATCAACATTTCTATACGCCGGATGTAATCAAGTTGGTCAAATTCAGAAAATATTTCCCCGTTCCGCAGGCTCGCATTTTCCAGCAGACTAGTCGTGAAAAATTGAAAGTTTTGCATTCCGTACAGAACTTGCCATTTTATGTAAGATGTTCGCTGACAATACGAGCACGCACAAGTGTGGGAAATTTCGCTCGACTCAAACATTTCCACAAAGGACACCCTAATACAGCCCTGAATATATTCCCCATGTTCGACCTAGATTTTGTTCGACACCCTAATACAGCCCTGAATATATTCCCCATGTTCGACCTAGATTTTGTTCCTATAATATGCGTACTATTATTCACGAAAATTTGTTAACAGTTTAGCTAGTTTTTATATCCAGAAATGCATCAAAATTCAGGAAATATGGAGGCACTAAGATTTGTTTACGTTACTCAATCCTCAAATTTGGAAGTCACAGTGAAATTGACTGGCTGTATATAATTCAATTGTTTATTTTCATTTGCCTGATTCGTTTTCTAAGATTAGCATTTCCATATGATTGGAAATTAAAGATGAGTCGATTTAAGCCAAAGATGATGCGAGGTGCAACAAATGTGATGAGAATTAATTAAACTATATAAGTTCTACGAAACATTGTTGACTGAAAAATTAGTATAATAAATAAGATTTTTAGGCTGTCTCGATGACGTTTTCCACTTTTCATGTCATCACAGGAATTTCATTAGGGTTTTGTGTTGATAGTTTATAAACTATCTCCTCCGCAGAGGCGTATATAAAATTTCTAGTGAGAGAAACGTGAGCGCGCAAGGAGTGATGGGAACAGCTAAATAAAGGAAGCCTCTGCTAGTTAATGCAATCAATATGGCGTCGTATATAATCGTTTGTAGTTCGGTTCGATCAACCATCGAGGGTGTTAAAACATGTTTTCCACTTTCCTTTTCAGGCGTACATATATGTCTCCTGGAACGAACCAATTATATCAAAGACAATATCTTCTTCTGTCCACTTGCACAGAAAAATATTGAGAAATTGCAAATGAATATGAATGGATACAAGCTATCTAACTATAAATATCCTCTAATTTGCAACATTTCGTTATGAAAATGGCTCTACTGAACTTCGATTTATTTCAATTTCTTCCACATTTCCGTCGATTTCAAGTTTAAAAAAGGTCAAACAACTAGTTTGGTTAAAAAACCATACTTCGTTGCATTATCTGGCAGAGCCTCCACAGCTTCTTTTCAATCTTCCCATCACACCGCACGCGCTCACTTAAATTCAAGAAACTTCATGTGAGTTATTTGTAAATACTTAAGGAGGGTCTGCGGAGGAGAGAGTTTTATAAACATGACAATATTTGCACAGCGGGACTGAATCGTCGTGCTGGCTGCGCCACTGTTTGTTGCCTATTTTGTTTTCTGTGGAAATCACCCTGTACTAGCAGGTACGATTAAATTAGGGAAATATATGTTATTTACCGGCTTGGAGGTCCGGATAGAAAAATATTTTCTCCAGATCTCAAAAACGGCCCGAAGCCGAAAGCCGAGGGACGTTTTTGAGACCGAGACTAAATATTTTCTATCCGGACCGACCTAAACGGTAAATAACGTATTTAATTTTTTGTCGAACACTCAGAAGCAAATGGCAACGGTTTTATTAGATTGCGCATATAGAAAGCAAAACAATAAAAAAATGTTGATATTTAATTATTTTACTTTAGAAAACAAACAATTCATTAAAATACAGTACAATTATTTTATCCATCATTAAAATTACTTCAAAATTGCATATTCATATTTTTCATTTTTAAAACAAACATACAAAAATTTTTTGCTTTGCTTCGGCCATTACGTATAGGATTCCGGACCGTGGTCAAATATCGTAAAATTCCACCCGCTGCTGCAGCCAATCAGATTGCAGAAAACACTAGGATTCCGCCGCTGCTGATTTGCAAAAAAATAATATAATTTCAAATTTAAAGGAAATCAGTCGTGTGGAAACTAATTGTTTTTGAACAACTTTTGCATATTGAAATGATGATAGTACAGGGTGTCCCAAAAAAACCCGAAAACTATTGAAATCACCAATAACAATTCAATTGTTAGAATTTGAATGCCTTAGCGCTCTGTTGGTTCTCACGAGTGCATAAGTGATTGACATAAGTAAATTTTATGCATAAAGAAACTGTTTAAGAAGCTGTTTTTAATTCCCAGGAGCAGAAAATCGCGCACTTTACCAGGAGATATTCCTAACTAAATTCTAATACATGCACCTTGTCAATATTTTACGCATCATTACGTCCAGCTGCAAAGTAGGGCATTCAAATTTAACAATAAGTGATTTCAATAGTTTTCGTTTTTTTTGGGACACCCTGTACAGTTGAATACTTTCGTATGTATTTCCTCATTCTTTTAGTCTCAGCTATTTGTTATATTTCAACTGCAATTTATCCAAACAAAGAACGCCTCATTTGCATGGTTGCGCAGTGGAAATTCCGAATTCGCTTATATGCTAGTTTTTCAACAAGTGTACGTACTAAATCAACAGAGAGAACTTGGCAAGGTGATTTGAGCACTTGCAGTTGGTTGGTCAGCGATCTAATCCGGTGTACTAGCTTATAGATAGATAATTTTTATTTAAAACGGTTGTTCTATCAGAAATAATTCAAATAATATTTACAAATGTTAAATTATTAAGTCTGCTCCACCTAGAAGCCGTGTATACGTTTTCACAGAACTATATTTACATTATTTTTTGTTTTTTTTTTATCTAGAACAAAAACAAATATATGTGAATACGTAATAGATACAAAGTATATTTACAGTGAAATCGCAAATTTACTGGTTGTCAATGCAGAAGTTATGTTTCTTAATTTTATACAATAACGCTAAGAATGCAAGCGCTTTCATTGGTTGAGAGCCATGATCTATTAGAAGACAGACGCACGGAATTACGTCACACAAAACGTTATACAATAGCATTTATTAGGTCGTATTTTATTAGGACTAAAGCCACTCGCACTGGTTGCTCGTCGCTTTAAAACTCATAAAACATTCGTCTCGTTTATTAAACGGTACATCACAACGCGCATGGGAGTTTGGGCGAACAGGAAATAAACATGCAGTGTTAAGGGTTTTTAAAAAATGAATTTAAAAATTTGAACGATTTCCAGATCCGTATTTTTGTACAAATATTAGGCCTACATGCTGAAAAACAAAAAGCATTTACTTATGTAAAACAACACTTTTCACAAAAGTTACGCAACCGCCATTGCTAGGGCAACAATGACTTTCAATATGACGGATAAAGTTGGTTATTTTTAATCAGGTAAGCGAAATGGATGACCACCAAATTTTATTTTATAAAATTATTTCTCTTTGCATAAATGATTTTTCTTTCGATTTCTTTTTGATTTTCTCTTTGTTCAACTATTTTGACAATTTTTAAAAACTTCTGTCCTGCCAAAAATGTTTCAAATTACATAATTTGTTTTTTGCTTAACAGAATTTTTATTGTCAAGATAATTGTACTTACATTTTTGAAACAAAACTTGCAGCTTGTCGATGTCTATTTCGAGTTAAATTGCTCTAAAGTCAAAATATCCACCATATTCAAACGTCATTATTGCCATAGCAACGGTAGTTCCGTAAGTTTGAGAGTTTGTTTCACATAAGTAAGGCACTACTGTCCAACAATACGTATCTGATTCGTAAATTTTGTATTTTTGAAAACCTGTATCAAGCATAAAATTATTTGTTTACGTTTTAAAATAAACTGCGAGAGGGGAAATTTTTTCCGTGTTTTCATACAGTAATAGAAACATACTTTTCTGCCAATCAACGATCGCGTGCCATAAATGTAAATGTTATATATATTATAAATGTAGCTTAAATGGGGAGTTCATTTTATCGTAGTCCAATTGCTGTTCCATTTGCCACAAGCCAACGATCACTGGATGTATAACAACCACCTCCACCGTAATGCACCTCAGTTAGGTAAAAGAAATTACTAGGTATTCTTTCTGTTAAAACCATAATTCCAGTGTTCCTCCAATCTACGGCAACCCCTCGTGTTTCGTACACCAGATTACTGTTGTGATACGTACTCGGCTTCTGTTCACGATGGTTGGGAAAGAACGCAAAGTAACTCAGGGGAATGCCGGGTTTATATTTCACTTTCACATTGTTGGATAGGAATCCGCCAGAGAAACTTGATGTTCTCAGATAAAGATAGTCTAACATGAACGAATTATCAGGGTTGCTATAAGTTATATCAGGCCCTAATAAAGAAAATAAGATTACTAAGCCGAGCGTCCTTAGTATACGCAAGCACCATCACCACTCCTTATACCAAAAAGTGGACACATGTAATGTAACTAATGGGAAACCAATAATTTGCTTTACCCATGCAGGTAAAGTGTTTGTTATAATTTCGTATTATGTAAACAACCAAACGTATACTGCCACAACAACGACCATCACGAAGGACTTCCCTTTTTGCACACCCCTATAGCAACCCTTTTTCATTCCCAAATCGGTCGTAGGCACCAACTAATATCATTAGCAATATAGCTTTCATAATCATATTTACACAAACTAACCTGAGTTTGTATTCTGCAAGACTACTAAAGGCTTTTGCGATTGCTCTTCCTGTTGTTGGATGTGGGTGTAGGTCTGACTTCCATCTTTCTTTTGAATGTACAGAAGAACTTCATAATAGTTTGTGAAAAGTTGTGATACAAGATTGGGTAGTGTTCCATTCTTGACAGCCGACTTAGGGATAAAGGTGAAGCCTCCGCCATGCAGAACCATTTCACAGTAAACTGTCACCATTTTGTTGTCAACAGAGATTTTGTACAGTCCACTTGTAGCCCCTGCTGACTTTGTCAGAATATCTTTGCAGGAAATTGGCGGTTTCTAAATATGGAAAATTTTTCGAACTTTAAAAACATTTACCGTAATTTCTAATAAGCTTCTCCCACTCAAGTAAGCTCTCCTTCATACATTCTGCCGTGATCGAATTTTTGTGGAAATGGTGGAAGAGGTGGAAAAGCTTTAGGGGAAGTGCAGCGTTACAATCACTAATCACTTATAACGTTCCAGCCCTTCCCCCCCCCCTAAAGTCAACTACGTGTCAACTATCTTTTTAGGAGATTGGTGGTAATTTTAAAAATGAGAAATGTTTCGAACTTTGTAAATATTTTTCCCGTATATTCTAAAAAGCCTCCCCGATACAGGTAAGCTCTCCTGCATGCAATCTATCGTGGCCAGATTTTGGTGGAAATGGTAGAGGATCTTGAAAAGCTCTATGAGAAGTGCAGCGGTTTAGTTCAAGTCTCCATGGAAACGCCCCCCACCCCCACCAAAAGTCACCTACGTAAAGTATGTTGCGTGGCGCATGTACCGTACAGATGCATCAGTGTATTTCTGAAATATGACCGTACAACTCATCCAATTTTGATCTTAATGATATCACATAACTTCAAGGTTTCTTTCGAAATATTGCATAAAAAGTAGAGATGAATGGTTTTCACTGTGTTAATTTTACCGGAAAATTTTCTCATAAAGTGCAGACCCTACGCAACATTTTTTCAACTTATTTTAACCTTTCCCAAGGGAAGGTGCATGACTTTTCAGTGGAGGTACAAAACAATGCGCACCTCCCCTCACAATCCGGTCATGCACTCTATCTGCGGATGATGCGAGCTAAGTGCTGAGCTGCTTGAGTCAATTAGCCAATGAGAAACAATAGTCAAATGCAAACGATTTTGTCAATTATGTTGTGGTTGAGTGGTGTTCTCAACGTGTGCGGTGAAAATGCATAGCTGAGCTAGCTTCCACGCGAAGAGGTTAGCTCAGAAAGTTTCTCTCGTTTGCGGCAGGTTTAATCGCCATGTGTATGCCATGTTATTACCTGTAATGACATATGATAAAATGGTAAGCAATTAGGTGCAAATTGCTGTAATTTGGAGCAAATCTATAATTATGCAAATGTAAAGGGGGCGAAACATCTGGATTGGCGGGGCGAATCATCTGGATTGGCACGGCAATCAAAGATTTTAAATAATGGAATGTAGAGTTATGGAATAACTTACAGCGCTTTCAGAGGAAATTGAATAGAATTTATTGACCTAAATTTTACAGATATTGGTCCAAAAATAAGCGTTTCACCCATGTTTTAACAGGAATTTGTACGGAAGAAATTTTTTGACCCTTAATTTAACTGCTTTAAGTCCAGAAAATTTTTTTTACCCTTTTTTTAAATGTCCGGAAAATTTTTTTTCAACTTTGTGGGAAAAATAGTGAGCAGAAATAAAAATTTGCTGCAGGGCATCATCGGTTTTGGCAGGGCAATTCTGGCAGACACCCCCGAATTAAAAGGGGCTAGTTACACCCCTGCAAATGGACTCGACAGATGTTTATATGAATACAACGTACACTATTTTATAGTTGTTATACAATTTTAGACCTAACCGGATCGCAGGGCCGCAGGTTCGTTTCCGGCCAGAGGATCGATAGCAGCTTGAGGATCGATACCCTTGTAAATTAACATATTCTGAAAGCCCCTGTACTTACTCTTTCGGGTTGAAGTAGTATGTAGTGATCAAAATTTTCATCGTTCCTTAAACTGCCTGCTGGTTCTTCTGAATCAACAGATTGGAGTAACTCACAATTTTCTTGTCCTTCACAAGTTTTTCTGAAGTTAGCAGATCTGCATAATTTCTCTTGAATCATGCAGTGTAAGATGCAATCCAGTCCAGACTTTGCTTGAACATGTTTGATCACATTCGTGTCCAACCGATAACCTTTTAACGGTAAAGTAAGTAGAAGAAACAAGGTGACTAATTTTGAAAAATAAAAAACTAAAACAGATTGATCCTCAGTCGGTTATCTCTCGACATTTGCATAGTCTATGTCATTAGTATAAATAAAGGAATCTATTCTTGCATGGGTTGCATTTGACGAAATTGCGACCATGCTGTAGTAACTTTTACACAAGAATCTCATTAGCTGCTTTGTATTTGGAAGGTGTTTTTCTCTAGCATGGGCGCGATATCTTTATCTTATAAATTTCACAAGGTTGATTGCAAAGTGCAAACCGCCAATGTATGGTTCGTGTAAGCATTTAACCTCTAGTTCGGTTAGTCTTCATTAATTAAGAAATAGAAAACGTGTCGCGTGCATTTACGATGTGATAATGCACGCGTTTTCTCCGTATAAAAAAATATATTCACTACATGCAAATTAACAGTCGCATATGTTAATGCATTATATGGACACTTGCTCCGTCTGAACGCATCCTCCTTTAATTTTCTAGTGAGATCTAATTAATTTAGGGCCTGTTCATATAATTCGGACTGGCCCGCTAAAGCGGACTAGCTCGCTTTGCCCAGCCAAGTTGTTATTTGTTTCACATGAGGGGGCTAGCCCGGCAATGCAAGCGCTATAAGAAATTCCCCTGTCACTTTTGGCGGGAACGCGTGATTTGTTTTAATTTTGAAAAATGCTATTTTTATTGATGGAAACTGCTTCAGAAGTTTTAATATTGTTGATTTCTTACTTTTTTGAATTCTTAGATGCCTTCTATAGATAGAAAAATGCATGCATTGTGACAAATTTGCCCGCTAAGTTTGTGACCCCAGCCCGGGAAGGCGGGATCTCGCCTGACTCAAACGGGAACCCGGCAAACCGGCCAGCACGGTTCTCATGTGAATTAAATCTCAAAAACATATAAAAACAATATACGAGGCAAGATCTCTCCATTTGTAAGTCAGCCCGTACCTGCCTGGTTCAAATGAACAGGTTCTTACACTGTTACTGTTATCGTAGTTACTTTTAATTGTTCAATATAAACGATGCTGCAGTATAATGCAGTATTAATACAGTCAATGTGGTGTCTCGTGCATCCTTATTTCACATAAATTTTGCACGTCTTGGCTCTTATAGAAATTTCACATTTAGTCATAATTAAAGAACATTTATATTAATATAAGTTTTTGCACTGGACTCAAGAACTTGAGTAAGATAATGCGCCTACACTGACTCTAGATTGAGTAAAATTTCTTAAATTTATAAGAAACTTTAATCATTGTTTCAGAAAGTAAATATTTTCTCCAAAAATTGAACAGAACTTCTCATAATTAAATTTGAAACATTTTACTCAGAGTTTTTAGCCACGCATGTGCATTTTTCAGTTCACCAAAACCCACCTTCTTTAGATCCGTCGAAGCAAAAGTCGAGGCCTTCTCCAAACGAATGCAAATTCAAACATATTACGAACCAAAAATTCAGAAGGATGTTGCCAAAACGGAGACTCCAGTGTTTACAAGGGTCACGACGAACTTCTTTTGCCATGCTTGGTTGTTGTTGTTGAAGAGATGTGATTTCGGTTTAGAAAATGCGTCCTTTGGCAAAACTTTCTATAGTCGTTTTAGTACATACTCTATAAAGAGTACCTAAAACAGACAGTATTTTTTAAGCAGCAAGACTTATTCATGTAGCAATACGTCGACGGACATACATATTTAATGACGAAGCTATATTAGGCATAGCGGCAGGCCATGCTCTTTCGACGGTTTATTAGTATATTGCACTGTCAGTTGCATGGCTAGCTCGCAACTGATATACATTACAATTTTATTGAAACTCGAGAATTGCCTGCCAAAGTTGTAATGCTGCACAAGAGTAGAAAGTTATCAAAGAAGTGCCGTAAATTAAATGTTTAATATTCGTGTGCAGGACGGCAAATACTGCAAGTATTTGTTTATTTTGGTAATTCTCTTTGTATGTAATAACATTTTGCATATTTATTATTTGTTTATGAATAATATGCAAATTTGAAAACTCGTGAAAATAGCAGTTATTTTAAGATCAGCAGGTTCAACATTCAAACGTATCGACAAATTTTAACTATTTGCTTGCGTCGAAGAGCGTTTTCTCATTACAAGATGGTGAGCCTTGTTTGAGTCAACCGACAAGTATATTCAAATATACTCAATGTCCTTTACAGGCTGATAGTGTCAGCAAATATAAAACTAATGTTATTTCAAAAAAGTATACATTTTAAGTACACATTTCAGAATAGATCTTATGTTAAAATGCATAATTTTTTCGGAATAACATTAGTTTTATCTCAATTTTAGCTTAATATGCTTTGAAATTAAGAAACGAAGCGCATAACGATGTTTCATGACTCTACAGTATTAAAGACAGGGCATTTTTTAAGAAATTATAACTACAAGACTGAGTGAGGGCGTTTTCCAGTTAAGAGTGTGTTATGACCACTCTGTATTCATTTTAGCAAAAATGTCGAAAATGTGGGGAATATGAGAAAGCATGCAGGTACAACTTTCTGGCGAAGTTGAATATTTTTATTAACGGTAAAAAAGCCCAGTTCCTCTCAAAACCTTGCTTCACAACTGCTTGGGGTAAGCAAGGGCCTACTGGGGTAAATACCCCATACATTGTTCATTTATTTATTATAGTTATACTATTAGCTAACTTGAAAATGTTCGAGTACAAACAGATGTATTTATATATACATATGCGCGCATGAATATACTGAAACAGCCGTTATATAAATGTAGCGACACCATTTCTCATCTTCCAATCAAGAGTTGCTGAATTTATGCAGTTTCGCGTTCGCTGGGTTTGCCAGCATTATCTTTGACAAGTTCGCGTGAGGTCCGTGTTCCCAAAATAAAACGTAGCCAATTTGGAGCTAGGAGATCAAAACAAATATATCAATTTGTCAAAAATCATGCAAGTGTACAAATTATATTACAAACGGGTTGAACACAACCTATTTGAAAAACTTACCAAAATTGGAGAATTCCTTTAAAGTATATATTATTATTTCGCCAGTAGCCAAACTTGTCTTCTACTGCAAAGGCGAATAAGTGTCATGTTCGCTCATTGGCTTGCATGAATCATTAATTCCTGCACGTGCATACTAATCATGCACAGCCCAGCAAATAACTTTAAAACCAAACATAATAAAAGTAAAATTTTAATTAGCTAACGTTTCGTTGTTTACAATACAACATCTTCAGAGCAATCTAAATTAATTTACAGGGTATGGTATATATATTTACAAAATAATGGTTTAATATTACATAAACGGTTACATAGTTTGAAATAACAAATGAGTATAGAAAGAAAGGAAAACAACTTATCAGTAAATGGTTAATATGTAAAGATTAATGTTAAGTGCATGGTTAGTATAGCTAAGGTTAATATTACATAACTAAAATAACTCAAGAGGGGTAGATCTAATATTAGTATTAAGGACAGGATTAAGTTGAGAAATTAATAGGCTTTCACGGATACGAAGATCCCACTCAGAAGTGCCTGATGATAGAATTTTGAAATCAGAAGCGGAGACTGGGTGTTTGTGCATGCACTCTTAAAAATAACTGTGTTATATAACCTACTTATTTTGTCCAGAAATTAACACGGGTTATATAACACACTAGTGTGTTAGATAACACACCCTAGGGTGTGTTTTTGGCTTGTCCAAAAATTAACACGCTTTACGTG